GTTGCACCCAGTGACATCCAACAGCTTCCTAGACCCCCTTCCCTAACTTTGCCAGCACCCTACCCTGTTGCACCCAGTGACATCCAACAGCTTCCCTAACCCTTCCCTAACTTTGCCACCACCATGCTGCACCCAGCGACATCAGGCAGCTTTAACCACTCGGTGCTGGGGTTTCCGGTACCGGACTCCTTGGTTTGTACACATAGCTGGGCTGCCTGAAATCGGACAAAGGAGCTGGACCTTGTAAGAAAAGACCATATTTGGAACAAAAGAGCCACTGCTGGGAATGACTATCATTTTTTCAGCTGGCATTAGCGGAGGTAATGAAACAATATACCACTGTTTGCGGCATTCAGTGCCCGCGGATTATCAGTGGAGATAAAAGTACTCCAGCACTCTAGCGATGAGCGATAAAGTACCGCTGCAGGCTTATCCGGCCACATTTGAAAAGATGCCACTACCATTCAGCAATGCACTGAGCCAATTTCAGGAACCAAGGAAATTACGCAACACCGCACAATCTGGGCTCTCTTTACTGGGCGGCAGGCCTGGCTGCAATACTCGTGTGTCAGCGGAGGTTGCCTATCAGATTGGAGTAGCTACCAGGCAGTCATTTGTGTGGGTGTAAACGCCCAGTAAATGAAGTTATGAATTCTTGAAGAATTTTGAAAATGGGAAATTTTGAAAATCGCCTGAGAACTCGTCCCGCATATCCAAATTCCACCCGGCAGGTAGTGGTTAATGTTTGAAGCCTGGGGAATCCAATATACAACACCTACAGCACCCTGTTGAATCCTGTTGGGTTCAGTATGGTTAGGGTTAAGGTTGAACAGGTACATGTACACAACTATTACATGAATAGTTGTGCAAATACATTTTCCTACGCAGCTGCAATCAAATTACAAAATGAACGCAGCAATAAGTTATGTTGATGTCTTTGCCATGGAGATTTCCCTATATAACAAACTAGAGTCCTTTCTTGTGTGCTTGTTTCTGGATATATGTGCACATATGTTCCCAAGGTGAACCATGCTCAATCATGTACGTGTATACTGCATCTGTGAACAAAAAAGTCCAGCACTGTGACTGCTGCCCTTGTTCTCCATGAAGTTCCAACATTTTGTAAACTGTGGCAATCTTCAAATCGAATAGTTCCTACAAGTACAGAAGAGAGTTATATTTGTATATTTGTAACATATTGTTATACATGTATCACTTATTTTACATATTATAATATTTGGTCTTTAAAAATTAATGTCAGTGACCAAACATTTTTTTGTGGAAAGTGTAACATCTCAGCATTCAACAGATTTCCTTAAAACTCCTCTTTCGTTGTAAGGTGGGGAACAATGAAGACGACAATAACGATTCCCTTCATCTTTACAGCACTACCCAGTGGTGTGAACAGCTCAGTTAATTGCCAGACCAGAAGGTGCCTGACATCTCATCACAGAAGTGCTAGTTTGTTTTTAATTCAACCCTGGTCTGAAACTTATGGACATGTACAAACGGCATACATCTAAGCTCAAAGCCCAACACAATCGAGACCATTTTTTCCCCCTCCTCTGCCCCCCTTTCAGTTCATATAATGCCTGTCAGGTCCCATTAGCCCAAGATTAGGACACAAAGCAAACAAGTTGTCGTATCTGGCGTGGCCGATTGCGTTTAATAGGCGGCCAGGACAGGCAGAGCTAATCAGTCCCGTTTTTCTTGATGAATGACTGGCATCGCGGCTCCATTTTTTGTGCCGTTGTTGGCCAGGGAGACTTGTCAGGTTCTCCCATTGTTGCACTTTCTCAGCCCCGGGCATGCCCCCCATACGCCCTGGCCAACCATCTCTCACTGCGATCATAGGGGATTACCATCATCAAGGTCTTCTTTTTTTCTCCTTTCCTTCCCACTTTCCCCCCTTTTCCAAACCCCCTTTTTCCTATCACCATTTGCAGTTTAATGCATCTAGCATATTGTCAGCTAAGTAATCACACCAGGCTGCCAACGAGAGAGACTTTTGTGGGAGTGATGAATTAAGAATCCTCCAGCCCTGACGGTTAACTGATTGAAGCGCAGTCAAATCGCTTTTAGTTGTGCTGGTCTTATCCCAGTAAAACCACTTTGCTGTTCCATCATTCATGAGTGTACAGCTACACGTATTGTCTTTTTTTTTTTCGTGTGGACCGATTACATTCTCATTTCTTTTTGCTGGCCGACTGGGCCCATCTGTTTTATCATTTCATGGGGAAAAAGATACAGATTGCAGGGCACGATTTTAGTTAAGAATAACTGTAAAATGTATGAGAAATGAAGAAGCACACAGAACTACGTGTACAGTAACCATATTTACCTTCAGGGATCTTCTCAGGAACACTGGCATCATCAAAGAAGTGTCTAGCTGTATGTTCAGGAATACATCCTACCAACAGATTAAAAAAGAACAGTCCACTAAGAGCACGAAGTTACCTCAAAACCAGGCCAGAAATGACAGGTAAACATAAATTTCAGACACACGGCACGGTATAAAAATCCTTATTGTTACAAAAAAATGGTACATGTACATGTGAATAAGAAAGTTTGCTAAATATTCAATTTCAAACAAAAACTGTATTTACTTTATGAATACCAAGTTTGAAATGTAAAATCTGTTCTCATAAGATTCTATGACTTTCCCACAAATTTTGCAAATGTTAACAAAAAAATTCCAGGACTTTTGTAGGCCTGGAAAAATATGTGGTCATTAACCTAATCACAAAATACTTCATTTACCATTACTGGCCATCCGGACCAGTGCAGTCATATCTGGACTAGTCTGTCACTAGCTGGAGTGGTACCTGCCGCATTTTATACATTAAATTGAAAAATAAGGCTTGGCTGGTCTTCGTCCAATGGGAGCCTGCAAATCGCAGCGCGTCCACCTTACGAACCAGATTGGGATGGAGTAGCCTGTCTCAAATCAGAGTATCAGCATGTGTTTTACGCAGTAGGCATTATTACTTTTCAGCGGACATTATCAAATGTTAACACTCGTTAAAGTTGCACGTTGTTGAATAAGGACACTTATGAATGAGTTATAATTAAAAGATGACAAATCCGTATTAATGTCTGTTAAAAAAAACCAGACACTAGACTCCAGTTTACATTAACATTGCTCTTGAAAATTTCTTCAGCATCTTCATTACCAACATCTGTAAATTAATATTCTGCAGTGCAAAGTGTGTTCAAACTTTTTCTTCTAGACAAGACATGGGGGTAAGAATAAAACGACATGAAATACATTCTAAAATGTAGAGCCAGTTGGAGATAAAACTTGGGGAATCTTTCATTGGTGATTTTAGTCAAGGTGTATTTCACATCTAGCAACAAAGCATTAGGCTCTGCTCAAGTCAGAAAACTTTACCAGTAAAAAGAATGAGCATCTTCTTTTGAAAGAAATGTCTTCTTTTTGGAAGAAATACTTATTATGCACAGTGAAGCATCACTGGAATGAGCACTGAAAAAAAACACCACCTCTGCAAGGTTGGCGATTTTTTGATGAAAAAAAAACACACCAAAATCAGATTTGTTTATTTAAATGTGATTTTAAACTTTAAATTGGATTAAGTCTTAAACCTTGAAGGAACTTAAATTCATTTTGAATGAAAAGGAATGTTTTTACAACTGAGGAAATGTAAGCCGTACTCGCAAAAGGTTAATGGCCAACAGGGTCCATGCATATATCACAGGCACTAGTGCAAGCATCAGCTTCATGTACATGTATCAGTGTAGCACAGACACGTAGACAGCCAAGTACGTGGGACCGGGGGTGTTAATAGACTAATCACTGCAGTGTGCACAGGGCAATGATCACATGGAAAATCACATTTTGTTGGATTACTACACGTACTAAGATGAGGATTTTGACCTTGAGATGAAAACATATAACTGAAATACAAACAAGAGATATCCAATTTGTAATCAAAGTCTTCATCAAATGTTTTGATACATGTAGTTTGGATTGTTTCCAATGACGTTTGCATGACAATTAATATTGTTGAATGCAGACATGATTACTGTGCCATGCTTCATAGGTCTGGTGCAGTGTACTGGCTCCTGGCTATTCCACTGTCATTCATGTAATTTAATGGCAGAAACCAGCAAAACACTACTTCCAACACCATATGCCATACAACTGGTACTTTCACCTCTGTTTGAGATGAAAAAAGCTTGTCGTGCTGGGGATTATGTCTTGAAAACTGAAGTTGGAAAGTTTTCTGTAGTTTCTACACGTGATACTTTTTTTCTTGCAAATGGGAGCACATATTTAGTATAACATGGGGACAATCTTGCCAACAATTGTGATACAAATACACAAATGTTTGGGCACAAAACTACGCCTTGACTGATGCACTGGACTTCAAGGACTTGAAACTGGTCAAAGACAATATTTGAGGGAATTTAGCCACCAGACCAGTGTCATGTTCAACCCCTGATAACTAAAATATGAAGGCTTCAACCAAACTAAAATCCTTGGCTAAAAAGAAAAAGGAACAGATTGTAAGCCATGATCTGCAGAGCACACCCAGGGTAGTTTTCCAATTCAAGAGATCTGAAGATCAAATGTCACTAATACCCCTTTGATGACAAAGTTACCTGCGAGGCAACCCTTCCAACTATTCCTTCAAATTTTGTGCAAAATGACTATGAGGCTGTCTGGCAAATCACTGGCACATGGCCAACATCAAAAAGTCAAGTCTGTTTTTGTTGTGCGTTATGGGGGGGGGGCTTAAACGAACAGGATATGACATGGCGGCAAAAATGATTGGAAGTGGTTTGAAATACCTCATAATCAAAAGTGGAACGGATTTACAATCACTGTAACATCTTTGTTGTCACATCAGTCTTAATAAGTATTTGTTCTTATGTAAAGATTAGAAAATATTTGGTCCATTACTAGTAGTATTTTTAGCCAACTGCCTTATATGCCTTGCAGCATATGCCATAATTATAGTAAAGAGGAACAGTTCCAATCATATAATGCAGTACATGTAGATGTATACTTGCAGACTTTAATTGCTTGGAACTGACAAAAAAATTTTTGTAAGAGCTTGGTTAATGGACGTTTGGCAAGCAACCGATCCTAAAATACATATAACTCTGGATACAGCCCTCTAACAGACAATATGACCCAAGAAATAGGATGACTCAAGCCCTTCCACTGTATATTTCAACTGGTATGAACATTTTAGCTTAATCTGCATGACAAGGGAACATACTGAGGCCTGTGTCACTGACACTAAGTAATATGAGGATCATCCAAGAGATGGCTGAAACAGGATTAACTTCAGAAACTTGATTGTAAATACAGCAAAGTTCAGCTGTACATTATAATGATGTTACCAACTGCCTGCCCTATAGTCTTAAATAAATGTAATGCTCTGCTATCAACATGTACAATCCCCCCTCCCCCAGTGGACTGGTATACTTGCCAAGATGTTACAAAGTAACCAGTCATTAAATACAAGAGATGATACTGGAACAGGGCAGGCTTTGTCTGACCAAATCTCTTGCCACTTACCCTCAGTATTTCCTTGGTGGTTGTACATTTCCCCACGCTGGAACCCCATGCAACAGGAATTGGGTACCTCTGAAAAAAGTCAAGATCAATATAAACACAATCAAATTAAATCTTGCAAATAGACTGCATTTGGCATTTTTCAGCAGACCTTCCGACAAAGAAACAGGTAATAAAATGACAGCCAGAAACTTTTTACAGGTGCAGGTGCAGAAAATTGGCAGCCATTTTGGAGAGAGCAAATTTTCTTAAACACAGCCCAGTTTCTTCAAATTCACCTTTGTGAAACTTAGCTCCGACAAGTTTAATTAAAGGGAAAACATCCTGTGGGTTGTTGCCTCATATACCCTTGGGCACATGTTACGTGTAGTTGGTGACTGAAGATTGCAAATTGTACCAACTGCATACCAACAAACCAAGCTAGCTACAGATTTTTTGTGGCAATATTTGACAATTTAGCTTGCAAGTGATCTGAGCAGCTACATGTACCATTACCACTAGATGCACATACATGTACATGGACTCTATGCCACCTTTTAGTCACTCTTCAAACTGAAACCAACTATCATCTCCAAATGTGAAGTTCACATCATACTCACTTCCAACTACAAGCACAACCAGAGTGAAATGAACACCCCTCATTAACAACTGTTTATGTCATCTTGCAAAATGTACACACAGTCAACCCTCGTTAGTAAGAGCACTGTCAATACAAGATTCTGCTTATAACAAGGACATTTTTTGGTCCCAATCCTTTCTTTTTCATTGTTTTCATTCCTGATAATGCAAGATTCCTGTTATAACAAGGTACATGTAATTTACCAACTCTGAAGGACCTCTTATTAACGAGGTTCAACTGCAGCATGGGAGTTACTCCAAAGGCTTTCACATCTGAATAATTTGGCAGCTGTGGGGCAAAATCTTGTGTGTGATCATTAAATAATGATTCCGTCATCACAACAATGGGAGAATTCTCAACAGTGTGTTTTGTGTTGTGGCAGTGTGCGGTGGAGTGTGTTTCCTCTTTGAACACTGGGCTATTGTTTGGTGCTTCCTGTTCTTTATTTTCCCAATCTTATCCTTGGTAGGCTAGCAGGGAATGCCATATGTATATTAAAACATGAGCAGGTGACCAAAGCTTTTATGAAGCTTATAGGCTGACAGCGGCACCATGCTTTGGGCTACGACTTTTACAAGCCCTGGACAAGTTTACCAGGGAACCTTCTGAATCCTGCAGAATCTTCCACTATGTAGGAAAAAATTGGACTTTCTTTGCACTTCAAGTTTCAAGGATCACAGGGTCCCTGTGAAGCTGGGACAGGGTTCAGATGTGCCTTCCTCATTCATACAAACTCCTACAAAATCCTCCAAAACTCCTTGTGAATTTGACAGGGAGGGGAGTTATGGTTTAATTGTACTATGAATAGAAATTTGGCTTAATGGAGAAAATGCCATATTATTTTGGAATGTACGATGTATCGATTATGTACAATTTTGGAGAAACTGCATACCAGGCAAACAATACTTGTAGCTGTACATGTGGTCGTTGAGAAAATGTTGTACAAGAACTAGGTGATAATGGCATGTAGATAACACATCAAAATGTAACACTGTTCCTGCAGTTTCTGTATGCACAAAACAAAGTCTCAGACATCTGCAGATAAAGAGAAGGAACTATCATTTTTTACATTAACCCATGTGTTTCAGAAATACAGGAGGCACTCCTGTATTACTAGGCAAATTAAACCTGAGATTTGCATCTGCCCAGAGTCATATCATCACAATATCAACTTCCATCCAAACCAGTTTCAAGGAGGCAAAAAAAAAGACAGATTGTTGTGTTTTTATTACAGATGGTTAACACATCCACTACCAGTTGATTGCCAAAGGCCCCCTTCCCTCATCCAACTCCAATGAATAGGGCTCCTGGCATGGAGCGTCCATCTCAAAGTTCAAGAGCAGAAGCAACACAAGGCAATCTGCAAATTAAACCCTCCCCGCTGTCGTTATGTTTGTGGGGCGAACACTAGTCTGACTAGTCAACCGGGCAATGGGGAAGGGGGGGAGGTTTAAGGCCGCAAGCAGTAGGACCATGTGTCACCGCCATTAATATCACCAATCGGCTAATGATGATTAAGTACAAAGCGAAAAACGAGCCGTTAACAGCAAAAACAGATAGGTCCTCTTCGTTCAAGGAAAACGTTGATTGCGTACAGAATCAGGGCATGAACGGTACATGACTCTTTATAACAAGAGAGGGCTTTAATGTAAGTATACCAGTACATGTAGTTCAACTAAGGTTCCTAATCCTAATTGGGGATGTTAAGTCTTCTATCCTTTTTGGGGGGGAGGGGAAGGGACAGCATCATGGATTTAGCAGAAAAACTGGCACACATACCAGTAACAAGAGCAGATTGCTACGAGAAGAATGTGCATGTAAAACGTTGGTGGGCACCACAAGATGAATGAATATTAACTTGCCATGTATTCACCATGTACATCATCCATTAGCAGAATCGCCAACAAGAGATCAGTGCAAACTCCATGCCACACCACCACTGATTAATGTCTGTAATTTGCAATACAGCCCGCACTTTGTTTCTCTGTTTTTTTGGGGGGGGGTGTCTTCCACACTTCTCTTTTCAGAGCCATGCTGGCCACTGAAAATTGATAGAAGGGCCTCTATTTTCTTGACTTTCCACTACTTCTCCAGATGCAGCCAAACTTTAATTAATGACCCTAGGACCACAGGGCCTGCGCAAGCTTGTAGTGTTTGGCCAGCGTAATTAATATAGTTGATGCCATTGCGGCTAAGTGGCTGGAGCGTCTTGGCCCATGTAATTGTATAGCAATTGCGAGTCATCTTCTGGTATAAATCACCGGCCTGTGGGTGCTATGTACATACCATTCTATATTTCATTATTCTAATCCATCTTTCTCAGGTCCCCAAACCCCTGTTGTCTAGTACCAGTTTGAGAGTTCGTCTGTACTCCCCTCCAAACTTCTTGTCCAGATTCCCAGAATAACGAAGTCTCCTTACTTTCATCATGTCTTTCCCTGGTGGTGTGGGTACCTTGCAGCATCCCAACTATTCAAAAGTAGTGTTTGCATTCAGTTTGCATGGGGGAGATAACATTCACCAGGACAATGGCTACTTTTCCAATTCTAAGATTTCTAAGCATCCTGGGAAATTTTCTGTTAAATTTTCCTAGTCTAATGGTTACTTTTACAGGCCAAACTGTGCCCAGTGAAATTTTGACTCCGGGGTAAATTTTTCTGAGACAGCAAGTCCAGTGCAAGCGATGCAAGCCTCACACAGCTGCAAAGTTGGCTCCAGCATGAATATCATACCGTACTTCATACACTATACCCCAGCTGGCGATGCATGGAGGGAGCAATTACTTTGGATGGGAAATTCCGAACCAAGTTGCGGGGACATATATCTGTCCTTGTGATGGATTCATCCCCCTAATAACTATCGTTTAACATATGTAACATGCCATCCCTAGAACAACGGTGTCAGCACGCATCGCGTGCCCACATTAATGTGTCAGGTTTTGGCTAGCCACTCATTTCTCCACACAATGTGCTTCTTTCATTTTCAAATGTTTATTCAGTTGTTGCTATTAATGTTTTTTTCTTATGGATCAATGTTTTGTAAAACCTTACCAACTAAGATGCTGTTTTCCACTTAAATGCGATCGTGGATCCCCTTTTCAAATTCTAGTTAATCAAAAACCTTTTTTTTTTATCAAAGTCATACTAGTTAATATTAGGACCACTAACATTGTAAAGACATGAGGCAAAGCTGTCCAATGATGTGTATTTGTGGGTAACGCCAGCTGATAAAACTGCAGAAAAGTAGAAGAATTTGGACAATTTAATTTTGATCATCATCTCAGCAAAACCACACATATACGAAAAACAGAACATCTCTTTTGGCAATCTAAGAAACTGTCTGGCTTGTTTTACTCGCATGGTTTTTGTGCTTGTACCGGTCTGTTCCATTCCACACAAACAGTTAAAAACAGCTTCATTTATGCTCTTGCTTCTTCTAAAGCGACACGTACCTGTATCTCTCTCCAATTTTTTCCAGTAGATTCTCTGCTTTATGCCCGATGTGCGATGCAGGTGCAGAGAATTATTTTCAAATCATAATCACAAAACATTTCTCTGACGTGATACCACACCACGCTGCTGCCATTGATATTAGTTAATCCCTGAATAAGCCATACAGTATGCTACGTCATACCTCTCTGTAACGCACCTTAAGTTCTTACTATTGATGTAGTCAAAATGCCTGCTTGTGTCCAGCTAGGCTAAGAATAATGGTGACTTCATTTAGAACTGAATATGGCAATGAAGTGAACTACATGTGAATGACAGAGTGAGAAAGGAGTTCCCCTTTTTTGAAGGGAAGGGGTTGAATAAAATTGTGCCCATAGAGCCTTTGGATTTTTTAATTTAAACTGACCACGACAAGAATATGATCTGCCTGTATGTCATTGGTTTAAACGTTTTGAGAAAGTCAAAAATTTCAAGAATTTTTATTCTATTATATTTTACTTATTTCTTTTGGGGGAAGGGTGCTTGGGGAGATTAGGACACATCATGTATATATAAATGTACCAGGTATGTGGTATATATATAAAACACATTTTAACAAATTAATTATAAGGAGATATACTGTACACTTAATCCATAAAAAAAAGGGATGCATGTATCAGTTATGAAATTGTTCACAACTTTTATAGCGGCTGTGTACAAGTACCGAACAAAGAGCGGACAGGTTCATTCAGATTTATCTTTTGGTGTGGAGATAATTTCTGTCAGTGCTCCATCATTTTACCCGCGTCAATTCACACGGGGGAAGAGTTAAAAAAAAACTGCTTCAACGGTTAC